TAAACTTATGTATAAGTTTTAATTAAACATATTTAGCGGTCCTTTTTAATTCATCAAACTCCAAACAAGTAAGCGGTACCTGATGACAAGCCAACGCCCATGGACGCCCACAGCACCGAGGAGTTGCTAGCCTTTTTTTTTTTTTTTTTGTGAGGGGAAAATCATCAAATGACTTCTCCCGCCCAGGGCCGGGCAGGAGGGAGTGTCAGACTCTTACTGACTAAAAACCCCCCTGTTCCTTCTCCTGCTCTGTGCCGAGGTCGCGGTACCTTATTGCGCTTACCCCGCAACCCCGGCTGTAGCCTTTGAGGTAGATATCCGAACTCTATAGCATTTTAACTAAAAACACTAAGCCAAACTTATATATTTTCTTCAACGTTACTCTATTTTGTTATTAACATAATTCCCTTGTAACTAAGAGTGTTCTCACCAAGTTTTTAACTACCGCGCTACAGCCAGTCAACTAATTTAGTGGGATAACTTGCTACAAGTTTTTCTTTCTTACAATTTGTGCTGCTAATGAGTTGCCAAGTCTTCGGAGTTTTGTGCTAAGGTGCAATATTAGCTTGCTAAGCAAGTTGCATCATAATCTTGTATTTTAGAACCAAAGTATTTAGTTATATTGTTGAAAGAACTTCTACTTTCGCGGATGGATCGATTGGATTGAACATGAGCGTTATTTTTGGAGCTGACAAATGACATTCATTTTTTTCTTAAAGCAGATAGTCTTTTTCGAAAAGAAAATCAACAGTATTCGTATGTAAAGGTATAAAATCCCTAAATTCCAATTATCCAACTGTTAAAAAAACATTCATTCCTAATTATTAAGACATTAATTAAGTGACGATTGAATTCAATGAAATATTTTTATCTACACATTGTAAAGAGAAAAGTGTTAGGAAAACCTACCGTTGATCAGTCAAGTCTCAAGTCACTCAACAGTTTTATAAGAAAGAATTTTTTTGTCAAAACCGTTTATGAAATATACATACAAGGCGCTCTTTATTCAACTCACACCATGTAATACGAGAGCGTGCAAATTGGTTTAACATCAAAAATGGATACCTTAGACTACATTAGAATTATGTTAATATTTATAAATTTTTTGAGAACATTTTATTGTGGATGACAAAATATTCGATATTTTGCACACATAGGTACACACACAAACACAATTAAATCGAATGACGCCATATTCTGTGTTAAAACCTGTCCTGAATGTTTGAATTATCGAAACAATTAATTTATTTTGTATATAGGCCATGAAACGGACTTTTCATCGACAAAACTATACTTATGTAAATACTAGTTGAAGCCGAAATATTGAAATAACTAAGTCTCCAAAATATTGTTTTAGCATTAAGTTGTTACGACGACCTCATCAGAGTCGCGAAGAGCCAATGGATGCGAATGGCGACTTGTTAACTATGTCGTTCGGCGTGGAGAACTAAGGTCAGCATACAAAAATAAACTAAGACTAAATACTAATTCTCATCAACAGTCTTTGAAAAAAAAATCTTTAGGAAAGCAAGTGACTTCGAACACGGCTATTTTATACTTTTAATTGTTAATAAATCTATACTAATATTATAAAGCTGAAGTTTGTTTGTTTGTTTAAACGCACTAATCTCAGGAACTACTAGTTCGAATTGGAGAAATCTTTTTGTGCTTAATAGACCATTTATCGAGGAAGGTTTTAGGCTATAAAACATCACTCTACGATCTGTAGAAGACGAGCAGCGGGTGAAACCGCGCGAAAGTAGCTAGTATTGAAATAATGCGGCTTTTAAATAAAACAAGTCCATTAATGCGCTGTAAAAGGGGCGTGGTTAATCTGAATATTGCCTGAAACCGCATCGAAGCCTCAATATCGTGTCGGCTTTTATCATCACTGATGCTGAAATTTAAGTACCTAGCCCGATAATACCCGTCCATGTATAAATTTACAGAGAGGTAGTAAATACGCATATCATGAAAAGCTTCATAATTATGTGATATAATTAATGAGTGTGTAGATAATTATAGTTGCATTTAATTAAAAACGCCCAGCCAGCAATACTGCGGCTCCTGCCCAGTGCACAAAAAAGGTATTTTTTGTGAGGAGAAAATCATCATATCAAATGAGGAGAAAATCGTCTGTGATGGTCTATTGGCTCTCTGAGACGCAAACGCGCGCGGATTGGCGGCGAGATACCCGAGCTTACGGTGGCCGGAGATTGTCTTTCGATCCCCGACGCCCGGAGTGTCACTTGCTACGGCTGCTGGGGCGTGAGGAGAAGGGTAGCTCAGTCACGCGGTCCGCCTCCTTCTTTGCGAGCATAACTGCTTCACAAACAGAGGAGACAGCTTTAGGTAGTTCCTCTCGCTCCATAACATTGCCTCGACTAAGGCCGGCTGCGAGCACGAAAATGAACGGTGTTGTTTTTAGTAAACATAAATATATTTTAATTTCGTAACTATAAAACAAATAAATCTTGCAGCTTGCATATAGCTCTTGATCTAGCAGCTTGTTGGGTAGTGGCGACCCGACGGCCCTGACTCCCGGGAGGTGTCTTGTTCTCCATCTCCGGTTAGTCCTAAACTAACGGGGAACAAGCCCTCCTACCTCATTCTTGCCTTAATTATCTGGCTTGAGTGGAGATTCGCAAGAGCAGGAGTTGAAGGAGACTTGGGGGAAGGATGTATCTAAGTAAGATGATGGTAGGGTCTTGACCGTACTTCCGGGATTGCTCTGATAGCTGTGGGATGCCTCTCCTTCCCCAAGCAGCTCAACGTATGTTGCCCCTGTGTCGCTACATGCTAGCGGCCGTTTCCGGGGGCCCATTAATTGAGTTTGCCAGTCAACCCCTGTCTGTTTATCAATATTGGCAGGGCCATAGTATTTCTATAGTTATCATATCGGCCAATCCATAGCAAAACCCATACCTATAACCCTATCCATTTTTGCCACATTTCACAATAGTCCTCCATCAACCGGGGATTGTCCTTGGGTGCACTTTTATAGTGCATACAGGGATAATTGCCGAATTGCCGGCTGATGTCTCATTTCACTTATATTAAAGTTGTTCAAAGGGCTCTGCGAGTTGGTATCGGCCCCTCGTACGCCTTCCAAAAGTCCGGGACCCTGTGGTCCCGTGAGTGGAAAAAAACAAATAATTTACACGGTTGCTAAGCAATACTATACTGATTGTAAGATACTAGCTTTTATTGATGTCGGGATTCTGTTTTTTTTTCAATATCAAAAAAATGCATGTGACACGAGACATGTCACTTAATCGACGGAAAACAAAAAAAAAAACAGTCGCGACGACAATTGGTTTGAAGCGACTTTTTTTGTCAGTATTCGCATTACAAAGGATTTTTCAAGCACCAATTTTCTCAAAACCCTTTCTCCCCCTGAAGGATAACTAACCAATAAAATATAACTTTTATATCTGATTTATGCAAGTGAAGATACGATAGCCATTGGTTTTTATGTAACCTAAATGATTAACGTCCAGTTTTTATCAGTACACCGGGAGTTTACACCAAGATGGTTCGGCCAATAAAATTAATGTTCTGTGTGTGTACTACAGAGTGGGTTTCACTTTATAGGTCAGCAGTGTACTTACAATCTCCCTAGTGAGAAGGCTACGCGTAAATATACTCGGGTGTTTTGCTCCATTCCAAAACGGTTCTTGAATAATTATTGTGGGTTTCAGGTCTAACATTTCTACTTATTTTTTACGATTATCGAAGAGTTTTTCGGTGGACTATAAATTGGAGAATATTGATATAGCTTTTGATGTTATACCTATGTATTGATTTTTATAATAATGTGTGCACTGGTTAAAAGCGTTTTGGAGTAAAGTCATTGGCTTATTTGTAGTTAATTCGACAAAAAATATATTATATTACAATATGTATACACTTGAGGAACTCTTTATCGATCGTTCCCTTACTGCTTAGTATCTCTCCATTTCATGCCGTCTTTTTTGTTTCATTGCTTGCTATTCATATCTTCAATTCTATACAGTTATCAACAGTTCCTGTGATATCTGGCCTGATCGTGACCACGGGTTGTGAATCGACAAACATACATAAATAAAAACAAGCAAATTCAACGTTACTTTCTCAACAAGATTCTGAACTTCATAAACAAAAAAAAAAGCACACAATTTATCATATACAGAACCAAACAAAATACCAGTAAACCACTGAATTTTATTACGATATAAAGGCAAAGGAAATGAGAGAAGAAATGTGCAAATATTAATCAATCAGTTCCGAACTAACCTGGTAACTAATTAAGAGCGATATTTAATTAGATGAAATGTTCGTTCAATGTTGACAAAAGGAATATGGAACGTACAGATGTAGACTCATAGTCTACATTCCCAGTTGCAGGAAAACTGCGAGTAATAAGTGCTATGAAATTAGCAAATTATATTTTTTTCCCCATTTGCTTATTCCACATAAAAAAGAGATAGGTTAAGCTGTAAATATATTTAGATAATTGGAAGTTAATCAGTTTAGTAGACTGTTGTTAACAAGCATTTGTTTTGTTAACATGGTAAACAAAAGACTGATTGATGGTAAGCAATTGTCACTGGCCCAAGACCCTACACCCAACAACAGAAATAAAACAAATGCATTGACGGCTTTTTGGGGATAAGGGTTATGGGGATAAAATAATTAAAATAATTGAGAAGGAATGGCGAAAGAGGAATGATTGAGCTTCCTCAGTCACACAGCTATACACAAAGCTGTTGTTGTTTCACGCTGGTCTTGTGTGAAGCCGTGGTATTATATTTTTGCTAAATCACTACAAGTTTCAAAGAGTTGAACCGAGGTTCAAACTGTTAGAATTCTGATATGAAGTAGACACTCATTCATAAAACATAAGAACAAGAAACTTCCTTCATAAATACAAAGGTATCTGTAAATATCAAACACTAAAATTATTTGAGATAAACCTCATTTATTTCAATCAACGTTAACAGTAACATCGAATACCAAGTCTAGCAGTAAGACAGAAGTTCGTCAAGGGAGCAGGGTTTCTCACAGCACTCGTCCACAGGTCCTCGCTTGCCTCTGATGCCACCCAAAGCCCTGACACCTTGAGGAGGCATCCACCAGCCCGCATCACGCTTAGCGACCTCAGACTTGTAGCACAAATCGGCTATGGTAATAGCCAAGTTCCTTCCACAGTAGAAGTCGGTTCCTTCCCGAGAGGCATAGCACGCAGCAAAAGCCAGGACCAAGGCAAAGACGACGTAGAACTTCATGATGTAAACTGAAGAGCTGGTAGATGTACTACTCTATCAAACGCTGAAGCTTAAATGTGCTTTTTCCCTGCATTCTCTAGCTTTTATATACTGAGATTCTTCATCAATATTCAAGCACTAATGAGACATTTTCATCTTTAATGTCATATATTTATGGTTGAATGTTTACCGTGTGTCACCTTAATTTTACATTTGGGTGCACCTTATTGGAAGTGGGTGACCGGCGCGACGGGTTACCTAGTCTCTGACGTGTTTATGGTTTAATATTGTAGACAAGGATGAAACTATTTAACCCTTATTTTCATAACATCCCAAGCATATCCAAAATACTAACCAGAGAAAATAATAAAAGTATACTTTTTAATGCTTCTTTTCTTTGCTAAACCCTTAAACCTGCTCAGGTTAACGCTGCTATAGACCTTATTTATCTTTATAATCCTACTAATGTTATAAAATTTGTGAAGACATTTCAATGTTTGTTGCTAACGCAAAAACTACTGAATGGATTTCGAGGAACCCTTGTAGTAATGTAGGCGTCTATGTTGGCATTTTCATGGACACGGAAAACTGTAGCTGTGTGTGTGTGTGTGTAGTAGCTGTAAACTGAAATCCACGGGGGCGGAGTCGTAGAGATGATGGCTTAGTCTTAGTTTCATTGTAATTTTATATTGGTATAATGTAATTTGTATAATAATTCCAAATTCTAATGCCAATGCCTACATAATTATTGCACGCCTATAAGGCAAACTATATGGCATACTTCAATATATTGTAAAGACCTGTAACTTACACATGATGATCATTATGACTTTGACTTTAAAAAACTGTACAGAGTATATAATTCGTCTAAGGGTGTAAATTTGGTAGTGTTTTATTAAAACGTTGCCCTAAGCTAGGATTTTCTCCTTTGCGTGGGTGCGTTTACAAACATACATGTTCACATAAACATCACACCCAGACCCGGAACATCAATTTGTGGATCACACAGAGTTATATCCTTGCGGGATTCGAAACCGCTACACGTTGCGCAGCAGCTAGTGTCTCAGCCACCGCACCGCGCAGCAGCCACCGCACCAACCGTGCACTCAAGTCAGTTCAGTCAGTTTGAAAGTGAGTTTCCCAAAATATTCAAGTACCCTCCCACACATCATGCTGCTTGGAGACGTATTGCAAGAACAACTCTTGAGAGAACTAGGACAGCTCCGTCAAGAAAGACCGACTCAAGACTAAAACAAACGAGACATTAAGCAAGCCAGTTTCCTTGCAGTGTTTTTGTTATTGACTTGTAATACCTTATTCTAAATTAAAACTTTTCCGCTCTGAACGCCCTGAACGACTACCTACTTAAACGAGATTTAACTTTGGACAAGGTCATAAAGGATCAAACTTGACATAGATTTTGACAAATTTGATTCAAAGCAATAAACATACATAGCAAAGCAATCTTCATTTCCCTAAATTCTGTATCCAAAACTATCAGAGTGTCGATAAGAAATAATTTATAGGTAGGTATTACTAAGACCTGAGCTACATAAAATAAATATCTAGACCAAGATCAAAACAAGGTGACATCGTGAATTTTCCACATCCTACACAATTAGGTTCAACCAGATAATGTGTGTCTGCATATAATTATTTCTGTATAAAAGCACAGGGATGTATGGAAATCCTCACACTCAAACTCCATCGTTTGATACACGAACATCTATCCACCATGAAGTTCTCTCTATTTTGTGTTCTGCTGTTTGCTTGTTTCACCTGTTACTACGCTCAAGAAGGTAATAAATACTACTGTGGAAGGACCTTGTCAAGGGCAATAGCTGCCCTCTGTTGGAGTTCTGAATCCAAGAGGGACGCTGGTTGGTGGCCCCACCATGGAGCCAGGGTTCTTGCTGGTGCTCGCGGCAAAAGAGGCCCCGTCGACGAGTGCTGCGAAAAATCCTGCTCCGTTCAAGAACTGATGTCTTACTGCTAGAACTGATGGCTGTAACGAACCGAACGAAATAGAGTCTTATGTAACAAATATACGATGCATTATTTGTTATTTGGTTTTTTATTTCATTTTAATACTCGTGATTGTGTGGTCAAACAATGTTGTGTTGATTTCACCGAAAAAACAAAAGGTTACCTTTTAACAGCTTGTGGCCTTGAAACGGATTTTATTAAGTTTGCCAATATAGATTTTCTTTTTTATCCTAACCAGTACAATTTTTATTTTGATTATCCAAAACTCCTTGCACTCCTCCCATCTTTCCCGAAAATCTGTAATGTAAAAATCAAAATCATTTATTCCAACTAAACCATAAATAGGTACTTTTGAAACCTCAAAATAGAATAGTAGTCTGTCAGTCTGTTCGTCAGTGAAGCTAGGTGTAATATTTGTTGCTGGTTCCTCTCCATTCAAATCTACACTTTGGAACGAATACATAGCTTCACAGACAGAACTGACTGACAGACTATATTCTAATTTGACGTTTCAAAATGATTTTGACTTTGACTTTGAATGCCGGCAACGCACTTACAACTCCTCTGATGTTGCGTGTATCCATGGGTGGCATCGATTGCTTACCATCAGGTTATCAACTACTCGTATGCCGACGTATCACATAAAAAAGAAAAGACTCCACGAGACCTCCCATCTTTTGTCTATACTAATATTATAAAGAGGTAAAATTCGTAAGTTTGTAAGTTTATATGTTGTATTTGGAACAGCTGGTCGGTTTGCCAAAATTCTTTCACTCAGAGATAGCTACAATGTTCCTGAGTGCTATAGGCTATAAAACATCACGCTACGATCAAATGGAGCCGAGCAGCGGGTGAAACCGCGCGAGAGTAGCTAGTCATTCATAATATGATGCTCTTACCAAAACATCTAAAATTATTTTTAGACTTTTGCAAACTATAATTAAATACCTCCACATCAGAATTGTAACCTCACACCTTGGAAGGGAGAGCTGTAGGGTTGTACAAAGGTGTAACCGATGCGTCAATCGTAGATAATGGCGAAAGAGGGTTCCGTAGGGCTGTCCACTCATCCACGAGGAGCATTCACACTCCAGCGAATAATTGTGACGGGAATAAGGGGAGGCAATTTAGCGAACATTGAGAATTCACCGAAATGCTTCCGTGCTTTGTGTGTAATATGTTGGTTTTTGAATGGAGCTAGCTTTTCTGTTTTGGGTATTTTTTAAAGTAAACACAATATCTTGCTTGTTCTTTGACTTGAACGGATGACGTGCATTTTACTTTCCTCGGATAGTGAAGTCGTTAAAGGTAAGGAGATATCTTGTTTAAAAAGTAGGTACTTATTTTCTTCATATTTTTTACAACTTTTAGCCCGTGATATGCCGCATGATCGCAGATACACGCGAGACAAAAAGGGTTTTCTATTGTGTCTCAAATACTGGTAGACAAGAGGTTAAGTTACACTCTAGATTCTAATAATTTAAAGAATTATTAGATATATTACATGATTTCCCCTTTCGGAGTTAACGTTTTACAAGAATTAAATTTAATTAAATGTTTTAAATATAATATGTATTAAATATAAACTCTATGTACACATTTTTTACACACATTTTGTACACACTTTTTAAAGAATCTAGAAGACCTTACCATGGAGTTTCTTATTCATACTTCTAAAATACAAATCTTAAACAAGTACCTACCTAACTGTTTTGACAAACAAGTCAATTCAGACATTTCTAAAGTGCCTGCTTATAGATTATTTAAAACAAACGCTTTGTTTTTACCTTTATAAATCTTGTATATACATATTCGGCCATTTCCACGGACTCTCATCAAAAATAAATAAACAGTTGCATCACAAAACAAACCAAGTAATAATTACAACGAACCTTAATCTGTCACACGTGCCCCTAGCCCTCTTTCATATTCACCCGATGTTGGGCGTCGGTCTATCCGTAAATATATACATAAAATATTCAGCAGCTTGTTCAAAAGCTGATTGAAAGTCCCCAACTCTGCGGCAACTTATAAAAAATGCAAGCAACGTCGCAGGAGCCAAACTAGTTAGCATCCCGGTTTCAGCACAATATTACGCCAAGTATGTATGCGTGATGTTAATGGAAACTGAATCTTATTACGTTGCTTCTGGTGTGTATTTCAGGTGGATTTTTATTTAGATTGAGATATGACTGTCTTGTTTTGGCTTTTCTTAACTCTTTCGTAAGTATTGGAATATATTGCATTTCTAAGAATCACTACACGACTTTAATAAACTATAACGGAACGGGATAACTAACCTAATGAAGAATCAACCAAAATGCTTTAAGCGTTGGACATCTTGTAATTGATAGAATGTAACCAATCGGCGCTGCCCAAGGACATCCACAATACCAGAGGAGTTACGAGTGCGTATGCGGCTTCTTGAGGATTAGTGTTTCGGAGATTTAAGGATTGGAGAAGGGGTAGTGAAAAAGGTCCGCCGATAACCTCATTTACACGGTGAAAGAACACGGAGGTCATTTCACGACGGTATGCTGTAAGGCCGTAATATAATTCCAGTCGAGCCGATTCATTTTTGCCGAGGCACGGCTATCCCACACTTAAATTATTGACTTTAACATAAATTAAAGTTCACACCAACTCACTAAACTTACCAACTGTCAAATATCTAAAACAGGCAAAACTAACCTTTATCTTCAACCCTATCTAAAAAAAAATAAAAAACATTAAATCGACAAACATTAATTAAATTCTCGATAAAACACTGCGGATTAAAAGATTTATTGTTTAGAACTCAAAGGGCTGTAGAGCGGCCATTTTAAAATCGCTAAGATGTAATGAAGATGGCGACGACAATCTTCCACAATGGCGGGAATTTCCAATATGGCGGACTAATGAAATAACCCGTAGCCTCACAGCTCGGTTCAGATGAATCTGAAGCATACTTTTACAACTATGCACGTCTAACATCACTTTAAATAAGATCATTAGTGCATAGTTCTCTTTAAGTTTTGTACTGATTGTTTGATCTACATTCCTATTAAAGAAGAAAGATATGATTTCGGATTTCAGCTAATTAAGGAACGGATTTTCACTTTTTATCATTTTTTCAATTATACATTACATTGATAAAGTGTGGTAAAGTTAAATTCTAATAGTGAAAACTGGTTTTTCTTATAACCTTGGTAATTTCATAATGACATTGCCATGTCATCGACCTTTGATTTTTGATGGTCATTGACCTTTATTCTATTGTAAAAAATACATAAAAATAAATTCAGATTTTTTAACTATGAAAACTGTAATACCACATATTATTATTGTCTTATAGATCACACTGTATTTTTTTAATATGCTTGGTAAACTGGTAGGCGTTGTTTTGCGCGGATGCACGGAGCAAAATTGCAGGAGGACGCATCGATGATCAACTGGGGGCCTCTGATGGAAGCCACTTCTGTTGATGAAAAGGTTGAGGTTTTCAACATGAATGTGGTCAGCCTTTATGACCGTCACGCCCCTGTTAGAAAACTAAGGGTGAAACGGCCACCGGCGCCATTGTTGACTCCTGGGATAAGGATGGCTAAGCGCCGCAGGGACCGGGCGTTCCGCAAACACAGGAGGGATCGCACTGACGAAAACTGGGCGGCCTTCAAACTTGCGAGAAATAGGTGTAACCAGATGGTGCGTAATGCTAAACGCCGCCACGTTCTCGAAAGCATTTCTTCCTCTTCTTCAGCCGATATCTGGAAGTTCCTTAGAACTCTAGGCATCGGCAAAACGCAATATTCAGATCTTCCCAGTACAATGTGTCTAGACGATCTCAACAAGCATTTCGCTACAGTACCAATCATGGACCGTCCAGTGAAACAGAACACGCTAAGATTCATCTCTGATCTGACGCGCCCCGATATTGCTAATCCTTTCCACTTAGCTCCGGTTGATTCGGCAGAGGTTGGTAAGATTATCCTTTCCATCAAATCCAAAGCGGTAGGTTGTGACAACATTTCTCGAAACATGATTGTGACTATTCTTGATCACCTCCTACCAGCTATAACCCAACATCATTAATTTTTCCCTTTTTCCGGCTCCTTCCCCTCCCTTTGGCGAAGAGCTTTTGTTCGCCCTCTCCCAAAGGTCTCCAGTCCTACTCTTCCGTCTCAATTCCGTCCAATATCCATACTTCCTTTCCTATCCAAAGTTCTTGAAGCCTGTGTCCATAAACAACTTTCCGATTTCATATACCGGAACTCGCTTATCAGCCCTCTTCAATCTGGTTTCAGACCAGGCCACAGTACTACTTCCGCCCTACTTAAAGTAACTGGCGATATTAGAGCTGGCCTCGAGGGTACTAGTGCCACAGTCCTGGTGCTAGTTGATTTCTCGAATGCGTTCAATATGGTCAGTCACGACATCCTTTTGGCCATCCTATCCCATCTTACAGTCTCTGGAGAGTCTTTGGAATGGTTCTCCTCTTATCTTCAGGAGCGTCAGCAGATGGTCAAGCATGGTGACACCACATCAAATTGGCGACAACTAAAAGCTGGCGTTCCTCAAGGCGGTATACTATCACCTCTTTTATTTTCTATCTTTATAAATTCTATTACTTCTAATCTTCAGTGTGCGCATCATCTGTACGCCGACGACTTGCAGCTATACTGTCAGGCTAACTACGATAATATCCCCGTTGCCATCTCAAAAATCAATAACGACTTAGCAGCAATTAATAACTGGTCGGCAAGATTTGGCATTGTGGTTAACCCCAATAAGTGTCAGGCGATTGTCATTGGGAGCTCTCGTTCTCTGAGTAGAGTGGACGTTGCATCTTTACCGGCTGTCCTTTTCGACGGTGCGATCATTCCATATAGTAGTGACGTCAAAGATCTCGGCTTACTTATTGATAGTAACTTAAACTGGCATGCACATGTCACCAGTGTGTGCAATAAGGTGACCGGTTCGTTGCGGGCACTTTATCGCGCCAAAAACCTGCTCCCGTCCATCACCAAGTCAATGCTGGTGCAGGCCTTGTTGTTTCCCATAATTGATTATGCTGATGTGTGTTATTATGACCTGAATGCAGATCTCCTCAATAAACTTGACCGACTTCTGAATAACTGCATTCGTTTCGTCTTCAACCTGCGCAAATATGATCATGTTTCTGCACATCGGCTGCAATTAAAGTGGTTGCCCATACGCCAGCGCAGGGAGCAAAGGGCGCTAACCACTCTGTTCTCTTTCCTTGATTCTCCTTCTTCGCCAACTTATCTATCCCCTTACTTCCAATACACATGTGCAAACCACAGCAAGTATCTCCGTTCTTCTAATAACCGCCTTCTTCAATGTCCAACTCATCACACAAAATTTCTTCATTCTTCTTTTTTTATTCAATCTATTATTCTGTGGAATGCGCTCCCCCTCGATGTCAGGATGGTGTCGAATCGTTGGGCGTTCAAGCAAAAGGTTCGGGAGTTGCTTTTGAAGAGGTTGGCAGAGGTATCGTGATCATGACATCAAATAGCAAAATATGTATAATTTTAAGTAGTATATGTAATTATATTATTGCTGTATATGTAATATATAGTATGTATGTATA